AGACGTCACTAGGTAAATATTCTCCATTTCAGTACGGTACATCAGTGAGGGGGACGATGATGATGGTCAGAAGTCACTAGGTAAATATCCTCCATTTCAGTACGGTACATCAGTGAGGGGGACGATGATTATGATCAAACGTCACTAAGTAAACATCACACAGTATTTATGCGTACCTTATTTATACAAGATCTCTATGTGACCTTTAAAATTTAGTCACATATGCAAATTTTTGGTCACCAAGTAATTTTTTTTCTTAAGCACCAATTTAAAAACTGATATTAGTCAATATATAGGGACATGTCCATTGCTAACTTTTAAACATCTTTTCTGCTCTTTGTAAAGAAATGATAATTTTTATAGTTCAGAAATTTGAAATGGTCGCAAATTTGGTGACTTATAGAAAACTTTTACGCGTCAATCATAATTTTAGGCACCATGGAGACTAAATTAGTAGCCAATTAGAGCCTGTAAACATGAAATATGAAGATGACGAACAGTATTCAATCTCGAAAGTCAAATGAAACAATACAAATTTGGAGCAGAGCAAACACGGACCTCAAAATTTAGAGATGGGATCAGGTGCCATGGAGGAGTGAGCATCCCCTGGCGACCGGTTACATCCGCCGTGTGCTCTCTGTCATAATTGGGAAAAAACGGGATAATGCATCTATATAAGCCAGAAACACTAACTGTGCACCGTTAAATCAGAATTAATGGTCACAAATAACAACTAAGAAAACATTTATTCTCTAATTTATACATACATTGTTTACATTTTATTGATTTCCTGAAACATTTCATCTGATATGATTTTTTATCATTTATTGTAGATGCTTGGAATTTTTTCAATTTCTGAAGAGTCAAATGTATATATTTATAATCTTTATATTTCTTTGATATATAATGCTTAATTTTTTCAAACTCTACAGATTCGGATTATAAGAAGATGCCACGCTTCGGGGCCACTTGGACGCTGAGGACACTGATCTGCTAAAAGAGACACTTTTCCCTTTGTGTTAACCATTGCATTCCTTTAAAATTGTTTTGGACAGGCATCTAGTATCCATTTTCGAAGTGGGAGGTGGGGTTGGACAAAAATTGACTGAAAAGCAAAAATTTAAAAATAAATGTCTGGAAAACTTTGACAATCAAAAATCATAAATGAAAAGTGTCCAAACTCAAAATATATATATTAATATATATATATATATATATATATATATATATATATATATATATATATATATATATATATATATATATATATATATATATATATATATATATAGGCGAGAGAGGATATGAGTATTAATCCCTTTTTCAGTAGAATTAATTTTGGGATAAATTAAATGGGAAGGATTGACAGAATTGCAAGAAATTATAGGTTGAGACGATTTGAATATATACAAAAAATGGGGACAACCGGCCTTTAAATAAACATTTTCATTCTAAATAAAGAGTAAAACGTTATGTTTGAAAAATTTGGGGCAATGCGCCCCCCCCCCCACCCACCGATACTACTTGCCTGTAATTGTAGATTACTTTTTAATGTTCTAAATTACATGAACTCTGCTTATAAGTCTTTTAAATAAACTGTAAACTACATGTAGAAATATTTTATTGTAATTTTAAAATACTGCCACACAGATATATCTGGACTGATATAATTTAAACGCATTATCAAGGATCTTTATACACACAATTAGGTACATTTTTGTCCATTATTATTATTATTTTCTGAAGAGTCTCTTTCCCTTCTTGTATTTTTTTCTCACCGTCACGGTAGCCAAGTCGGTAGAGCGCTCGCTCCGTGATCGGGAGGCTGTGATTTCGAATCTCGGCCGCGACTGACATAAGTGGATAAAAAATAAGTAGCAACTGTTCCTTCGCCAAGCGCTCGGCACTTTGAAGTTAAATTTGAGGGTCCTTCGGATGAAACCTGAAAAACCGAGGCCCCCTGTCACGGTAGGTGATGGCACGATAAAGATCCCTCACTGCTCAATGGCCCTGAGTGTCGAGTAAAGGTCTAAAGAACTACGCACTCTAACTCTCGATTCCCGCCTATGTATTACACCCATTTAATTCAATACTAATGGTCATTTGGTCAAAAAATCTTTGTTGAATGCAAATAAGAGTTCAATGGTAATTGATTAATATTTTTAATACCAGTGTTAAATAGTTAATTACTACGAATTCCAACTCTTTTTATAAGGGGGGGGGGGGGTAGACGATGTTTTCCATTGAAATCGTGCTTGAAAGCCTCAGCATATTTTTAAATATTCTTGGATATGGAAAAATGTTCCATAAATTTTTTCTTATGTTTTACGTAGATAAAATTAAACATATGTAATTGATAAAATACAACGTTTAAGCTGTAAACCCCTTCGAAATTTGTGAAAAATTGAGCATTGTTGAGGTTTTTTTGTTTTTTTTTGGTCAGTAAACATATGCCCCCCCCCCCCCAAGTGAAACAAAGAAAGCTTTTGTATGAATTTGTGAAATAAAAATCCATATTACCTGTAAAAAGAAATTTTTGTTTCAGGGGGGGGGGGTGTTTAAAAAACATCGTTTTCCGTTGATTTCTATAGAGAAAAACACACGTTTTACCAAACCTTCAGAGTTATCTCTCTTTCTTTTCCCAAATAAGTGATGTTTTCTGAAAATTCATTTAAATGTCTATAAAATATGAAAAATCCTTCAAATATGTTAACTTTTGAAAATTGACTTGGGGGTAGGCGGGAGATCAATGCTATCGTTTGAAGCCCTTCACCGGTATATGGTGACGTCTCTATATGAGTGAATAATTTTCGATTGGGACGTTCAGCAACATACAATTAATAAATGATATATCTTTATCCTCACAAAGAAAAATAATCCCTTAATTATAAGCGAATTGCGCCAAGTAAAATGCCTTCACTTGTTATGCTGTTGATAGTAAGGCATCCTTAGGGAGGTGTATCACATGGATATTTTTGTGTTTCAACAAGTAAAACTCAAATAACATGATCAACAAAATAATTCCTAAATGATTAATTAGTTGGGGCTAAATTGTTTATATGATAAGAAAAGTACAAGTTTAAGTATCTGTGTTAGAAATTTGATGCGCGCTTCCAATGCACACATTAATTGAATTGATGGGAGCAATAATACGCGCATCGAATAAATTATTGGTCTTATCAATTGTGCGCGTATCAATTTAATGGATGAGAGTAATAACTGATTTGATGCCAGCATCAATTAATTTATTTAAGGAATTATTTATATCATCACGTAATTAAAGATACTTTCAATAAAGGGATATTATGATAAGTTGGCACTCCACACAGAAATCATAGGGAAATAAATAGAGTGCTTGGCTTACTCCTTGCCCCTATGTTCCCATGTTACCCTTCTTAATGTCTACATTATTACATGTGCGGATATAGGAAAAGAAAAAATAATGAAAATAATAATATTTATAATTAATACATGTAATAATGCTAGTAATGATGGAAAGATAATGTAAGACAGGGTAAAAAAAATATTTTTAATATAAAAGTACAAATATTTTTCAACGTCTTAGCATCTTGTATTGCTGTCAGATGAAAAAATTAAGTATCCGTATTTGGTCTCACAAAGTAGTGTTCATTAATATATTTCTTATGGATATATTACATTGCTTTACATTCAAGTTTAAAATAAAATACGTCAGCTATATGAATAATTTTACAAAACATTCAGAATCTTCCATATAATGGTATACCTGTCCATCGTCCCAGTTCAACTGTTAGGCAGTGATTGGAAGTACGGTATTTTATTTAAAAAAAAATTAATTTTAGTGGCAAAATACTTGAAAACTTTTCACATTCAAAGTTTGATTTAAAAAGTTGATGAACTATTAGTGTTTGCACGCCATTTTTCGTATAAATTGATCCTGTATTCTTTGCTCAATGTTAAAGTAATAAATTTTGAGAAAAAGCTCATCTGATGATATTTTGCAACAGCCAATTTGGAAAAATTGTAATTTGGAGAACCTTCTTTGATAACTGGATTGCATTGGAATTTTAAACATATATGATTTGCTTGATGATAAGGAATATTTTAGACCACTTGACAATTTCTTCGTATATTATTGACAAATCTAATTGGCTATGGTAGTACAAAATTCTTCTCTTAACCACTAGGAATGCAAGGTGGACTTCAACTTAAAATCTTATGAAATATAAGACTGGATCCTTTTGTGATTAATAATATTACTGATATTAACTTCGCCGATCCTTTTGTTTGCAACTTGTAGTTTCAGGAATAATCGAGTTGCTTGAGCAGTGTTATCTTCCGTAGAACGTGGCAGTTTAAAAGGCCTATGATCTGCATATCCATAATCATAGATCCAAGCCCGCATTCTGGTGTCGAAAAATCCAAACATTGACTTTCTTTGACCTTTTCAAAAAAAAAAAAAAAAAATTAAGAACTTTCGAAGGGACAGAGTAAAGTTTGTTGAGAATGTGATGATGACTTAACTGTTTATTTACATAAGGTAGTAATGAATCAAAAGAGATATCATGTATAATAGGTTTTTTGTTAGACCGATGTCCATGGCTACTCTTAAGTCTCTGTGTATTGTTAAGAAATCCCATCACATTCACATTTCTACAATGTAGACTTGAAAGATTCCCAACGTTATTGTCATTGCCGTGTCCAGTTTTCAAATCCAATATTCTTCTTGTTGTCTACGGAAAGGTGTACTCAATGATGGGCTTTTAGTATGATGGTAAACCTTTTCTAGAATTAACTTTCATCGTCAAAGCTGTTGGCCCCTGTTTTGAATTTGAAATCTAAGTCCCGATTTTCCTTTATTAAGTGAACCCTTGGTTTCACCAACATAAAGAAGCACACAAGGGTAACATTCTATTCCGTAAAACAACATAATGTTTTAAATTTCAATTGGAAAACTTTACCTCCTCGGATTTTGACGAGATGCCGAGGTAGAGTCCTTTTAATATGCAACAACACACCAATTGTTAATATATTCATGTATTTAAGCACATTTTTCACTTTTATAAAGATTTCATAAATTACATTAGACAATCAGAAAATGATGAAAATGAGAAAAATACCATCTCCGTCTCAATTGATAAAGAATGAGGGTAACAATAATGCTCTTCTTATGCCAGTCGTAAGCTAATACGTTGCCCGAACTCTTAAAAAAAATTGATTAGATTTTTTCATCAAGTTTTCCTTGACAAACTGTTAAATACTTGCATTCAGATGTTAACATCCAGCCTTCATAATAATTATTTAATATAGACAAAAAATTGACACTTGTATTCGTTCATCGTCGCAAACCCCGGCCAAAATGTACGATCCCCTCCCATTCTGGCCGTGGTTGAATGAGAAGAGGATATATTTCGTAGCTCATTAAAATATTGACCAATGCACGTAAAGCATAGTCGGATAATGAACTTTGACGCGATCTTTCAATACCCAATCGCAGTATACGAAACATTTCTTGTATACTGTTGATGTCAATTGTTGATTTCAATTGCGATGGAAACAAATATTGTCATTGGCTGAACATGACGTCACAATTTAAAGGCGTAAATATTCAAGATTACAACACTTTTTGTGATCAAACAGCCACGGGTAGGAGAAAGCTATATGCGGACTCCGGACCGTGGCTTCAGACGATGGTATTCGTTATAGCAAAAGTGCTTTCTGTTAAGTGTTTTGTATAGATCTGACAGGCCGAATATTTGTTTAACGTTATAATAAACACTGCATTTCACTATAATAAGTCACATTTACTTTCTTTTTCCTTGTACATTGTTTCATGGCAACATGTCCTTGAAAACAGAACTGTACATATATGTAATAAAATTGCATTTTTGTAAGCCTCAATAGTAAATAAAGCATTTTTATGTCATTTGCATATATTTTTCAAAATATAAATATAATCTGATTAGTATTGATACGAGTTATACAGCAAGTGGTGGGTGAAAGAAGAAAAAGACAAGGAAATTCAAATGCCCATATCTTTACAATCAAGTATATATGCCTTTTTATTTAATTGATTTTAAAAACCTTAAGGATACATTTTTTCGTCATGTTGTGAGAAAATCCATTTACTATTCAAAGGAAAATAGACAAACAGGAGGAAATCTTTAGTCCCAACATCAATGATGGGGAAATGTTTTTTTTGTTGTTTTTTTTTTCTTCACATTTTTACTATGTCAATAATAAAATATTTTTTCTATATGCTTCAATATTTTCACCATATGAAAATAGAATTCGATTTCTTGATAAACTACTGTGTATTTCTAAAATGACAAAAATTTAAAAAAAAAACCCATTTTTTCTCTCAACAAATCTCTGTATGAAGAATTAAACGTCTACAATTGATGGTTAACCGAAAGTAAGCTGAAATTCTAAATATTTTATCTTCACTATAATTCATTTTTCAATGAACAACAAGAAACACGATCAGTGAGGTTTTATCATCATTAGAGTCTCCTTTATTTCATAACCATTACGAACTGTTGGAGTCCAAGGCTCATACCAGAATTGCGGAGACCAGGGACCGTTAAGAAATGCGTCGTGACAGTTATTAAACCACCAGCCTCCTTTTGTGTCAGCAGCACAGTTTTCACTAGCTCTGTCATTGTCTTGGTCTGTGGTGGAGAAGTACATTCCAAACAAATTATCGGTAGAACTCCACGTGTTTAACATACTGTCACCTGTAGAATAAAAGCAAATACTGTATGTGTACTGATAAAAAGCAGGCTTTTTTATTTTATGGGATTCAGCAGAGAGAATGATGCGCAAATTCATGATTACTGTTGATAATTGAATTAAATGAAGGATTCGATTCAATTCATAGTTTTGTGGCCAAATATCCAATCTGAAATTTTCAAGGCTTCCAGAATCGAGCTGAATTCAAGTGTGGCTTATATTTACAATGATACATGTTCGTGATTCTGCGTAATACTTAACTTGTTTTAATTCAATATCAATAACTGAAAGTTATTCATGAAACAAGCGAAACAAGTCTGTCTATCGTAGTAGTTATGAAAGTGCTAATAAAATGTAGTTATAAATATACCAATTAAAAAACTCAGGAAACGTGAATTCCTTGTAGAAATCAACAAGTACTCATCGCATACACATTATGTCTAGATTGTCACGTGAATTGCACGAGGTGTAGCTTTTGTTGACGTTATTGCTTTAACTTTGGCTGACATAATTGAGGGATTGACGTCAATATACTAAAGGGTATAATTTGGCTAGGTGGAAACTCTTTTCTTGATCAATAATACTTATACCTGACCGCTCATATATTCTAAGTATTATTACCCGTATTATTGATTTTATAAAAAAAAAAAATACTTGGTAAGCTTAATGGATTTCCAGTGATGATAATCTATTTTTAGGTTCCAGAAAATTACAAAGTCGTGCAAAAATGAAGAAAAAAATAATGTACCTTGAAAACACTTTTACCTTATCAGAAGTTTCTTACATTGCTATAACTCGGAGGGAAATACAGAAGTAACATAATTTTGCTGCGAAAAGACATGACATCATATCAAGGTAGTCAATGCTCTATCAAACAATTGGCATGTCTCCTTTTTGCTAATTCTCTCTCTCTCTCTCTCTCTCTCTCTCTCTCTCTCTCTCTCTCTGTAGATTGATAGTCAGACATTCTATTTACCTACCCAATGTTCCGGTAGATGGGCCTCCAAGAAAGAGTTTGTATTTGTTTGCCTCATCGGAAACAGAAAACTGATGATATAATTCGTAGAAAGTTGTGCCATTTTGTAAAGTAATAGAGACATAAAGAGATGAGTTCCTTTCCTTGGTAAGATGGTGAATGACGTCATTTCCTTCAATATCATTTTGTACAAATTCATTATTTATAATATAGATAAAAGTTTAATTCAGAATAGTTGTACATGTATTGTATTCTAGCCTATCAGACTGGAATATTACACCCACCCACCCACCTACACAGCCACCTACACACACACATCTATCTATCTATCTATCTATCTATCTATCTATCTATCTATCTATCTATCTATCTATCTATATATATATATATATATATATATATATATATATATATATATATATATATATATATATATATATATATATATATATATATATATATATATATATATATATATATATATATTGGAAAACATGTCTTTAAAAATTTACTTCTTTACATGCTCTAAATGATAAAAGGCTGTTATTTGGTAAAAAAGAATAGCGTTCAAGTATTTCAATGTAAATCAATAAATAATATAAAAACATAAGTAGAATTGCAAAAATAATCATGTCTATTATATGCTCCTTTGTTTACTAGAAATATATTTATTTTCAAAATGTGCACTTAATTGGTTCACAAAGGCATGTAAGTTTAAAAAAATATTTGAGTTGCAAATGTTAGGTTATCGAATGCTAATGCAGTGAAACTTTTCCAAACCCGTCCCCTTGAAAACCGGTTCTCCCTAAACATCGGCCGAATTAATAATTCCCGACAAAATTCTTAACATTTCTTTGAACATTTATTCTCATAAAACCGGCCGACCCTGAAAACCGGACACCGGCCACTTTTCCAAGAACAAAATGTAAGAAATATAGCTAATTTTTTCCTCATGATACCGGCCACTTTTTGATTGCAAAAATTATAATTGTCGTTGGCCAGAGTGTAAGTATTGACCTGCCAGAGGTGTGAAAAATACCAACCAGAGGTCAGAAGTGTGAAAAACTACAAACGGCCTCTTATGCTGTTAGGGTTCTCTTTTGTTTTATACCCGTGTTGTGAAGGGGTAGTCACCTTGCCAGACTACGTACGTGACCGATCTAAGTTGTGTACACATGATTAAGCTTCATGAATCATTAAAATATCAAACAACTATTGAATTAATAAAATATCAAACACATAATGAATAAACAAAATATCGCGCTGCATGTTGCATCATACTTTTAAATAGACATAAGCGGCCTTAGAATTGGACACTCAACAAAGACAAAAGTTGAGAAAAAAATAAATAATGTTTATCAAAATACACATTTCATGATTAAAAGAACAGAAATTTTGCTGAGAAATGTTGTAATTATTTACTTTTCACTAAGTACAAACAAATTTATAAATGACCTAAGAGATATCCATATACATGTAGATAGTTTAGGTATGGAGATACGTTTTTTGCAAATGATAAATAAAGTTCCTCTCCATAGTTTTTTTTCTGTTCTTATTTTAAAATTAATCTTTTGAAAATCAACAGGTATGTCGAAATTATCCTTACTAAATGAACAATGATCATGAATTTTTATACCCTCGGTATACATTAGGTACCTGCCGATAATTAATCTCGTGCTGACGACCGACAATCAGCTGGCCTGTTTAGAGAAGTTTTACTGTTGTTCAATACGATATCATATAACATTAATTTCAACAAAGTTAAGTTACACTCAGATAACAAGATATGAATTGAAAATGTGCCATAATTGAACAAATTAGCATTCCTTAAGATATTTTCAGATGTAAATGAGCATTTACCACTCAAGTTGGTAAATAAGTCTAAAGCGGACAAAAATAAGAATTTACCAATCCAATAAGAGAAATGTGGGTTTCCAAAACCCTTTTTGAACTCCTTCCACGTCTTGCTAAAGGTCACTGATCCACTGATCCGCTTCTGGATTGCCTAGAGTTTACAAAGTATTTATTAAAATTCTTGTCATTCTTAGCTGTAATTGTACTGTTAACCTTATTTTTCAATACATTATCTATTTGCATCATTTAAGGCACTGTACTATTTTTTAAAATCATTATTTATACTAAAATCTATTAGATGTTTTTTCGCCGATAACGGTATTTTTTTCAGAGGAAAATTATATACTAGGAAATTCCATAAACTGTTAGAGAGAGAGAGAGAGAGAGAAAGAAAGAGAGAGAGAGAGAGAGAGAGAGATCTTACTGTCCACCCTCCGCCTTCTGTCACCATGTCACAATACACGTTGACTTGGCTTTCGTTTCCAAAGGGATATATTTGATATACACCAGATTGTGTTTGTCCGTTAACCTTGAGATCTTTACAATCTGCATTTAGTTTTAACCCTGTTTGAAATAAAGCAGCAATTAAAAAAAAATGATTACCAGATGCAATCTTGTTGAATAGGTGTTCCGTAAGATTGACGATATCATTATATGGAAAAGTACATTGTTCTACATACATGTAAAACCCCAAATGACTAACTATATTCAGAAATACTTAAAAAAATAGAACATGAACACATCTTAATAGTTTTTAAGATACATACTGGTCTGTTTGTTAAGAGATATTAAAATTCTACGCATGTTACAGAGGCCATAATCGGAAAATAAGAAGGGCTTTTGAATTAATGGTTTAAGAGTTAAAGAAATTACATCGTTATAAAGATTTCTTAAATATTATTAGATTAGTGGTCCTGAAATATGTATACTATGTTTACGTCAGGTCAAGAATATATCACTGATTTCCATTGCAATTTAAGTTGTACCTGGGTATTTTTTGCCAATAAACAGTGAGGTATATGTTGCCTCATTCGAAGAACCGGTCTATGAAACTCGAATCCAAGACTTATGTATCGATCCTTTAACGCTATGTGGAATGACGCGAGACCTTCGCTATAACTACATTACCACGCCAGAGACTTAGTAAAGACTTTGCATCAGTAACTCTTACAAAAAGATAGCTTTTAAAATATGTTTATGTTTTGCCTGATGCATATTGCAGCACCGTTGCAAGGAGACCGGACCTCATTTAAATAGGAAATATTATTATTAGATTTTGCTGTTAGATAAATCCGACATAGAGAACTATAAAAAGATGCTTATCTGTAAATAATAATTTGTAAATTTGTAAACATAATTTATAAATTATGCGAATTTATGTCGTACAATTCGACCCAGTTTACATGCAGTTAGAGGTGGCATCGTCAACTTTGCTTGCTATAGTTATATTCTGAAAACCCTTTAAGACATTATTTAATTGCTTTAACTTTTCTTTTAGTTTAATTTCAAATTGAATTTTTTTTCCAGGAATTAAATTTTACTTTAAAGCCAATCACGATATTTCTTTTTATTTTAGCACTGAAATCGGATTTCAAAAATTATCCAAAGTGTTACATTAAGTGCACCATGTATTGAAAAAAAAAAGCATTTTATTTGTACTTACACCTCCAGCTTGAAATGAAATATTGTTATAATACATACTAGTTAATGTAAGGTTGGTCAGCAAATCTCTGATTTCCATGTTATCCTGTCGCAGTTGATCTACTACACGCTGGAGCCTTCTATGCTCGGTCAGATATGTTTGAAATTGTTCCATCTTTTCATTACTCTTGCACGCAGCAATATTATCCAAATCAATATACTGAGAATTTATACAAAATAAACTAGACATGAAGAAAATTGTCCACACTGTTGCCATGACTTAACTTTCTCGTTGTCCTGACGAAAACATTTCTTGTTTATATCCTCAAGTTTAAATATCCGCTGAACAGGACGTTTTTAAATAGTTCTATGTAATATAGCAGTTTTACCGCATCCCTTAAATGTTTAGTCATGAATTTCTTGGAACACAGCAAAGATGATTAATACTTCAAACAAGTTCCTTAAAGCATGGTTTTGTTATCAAAAGGTAACATCATTCTCTATGAATAAACAGAATACACAAATTTAATTTATTATATTTTTTCATAAAGATACAAAATCAGATCCTGTTCAGAGGTATCCTAAATTTTGGACAATCCTTGATTATTCGCAGATACTAATTTTTTATAAAACTTGATGATTTTAAGGATTTTCATGAATGATAATTTAAAAAGAATTTTATGACACGTTCCTGCAATGAAACAAAAAGAAATTAATGAATGAAGTTGATCCATTTAAAACCAATTAAAGAACGTCATAGTGTCTATACTTTTGGAATGTATATGCAGATATCAATAAAACCTTTTAGTGCAAATGCTCATTTATCGATATTCAAATTGTTTGTGGCGTCGGCTTGCCACTTAATAAATCCAATTTAAGATATTGTCAATCAAAGCGTTTTACTTTTCTGAAGAAAAAAAGGGACCAGTAGACCCAGATGATCACTTTTTAATTTTTTTTTTCTCGTTTATATGTTTTAAATTTCTTGGTTAATCTATTCCTTTGTGAAAGATCAGAGGATCGAGAGGCATGTCAATATTGCCTACAATATAGCTACAGGCAAAGATGTTTTGATAGATTTTGACATATTTTTTCCTCCATCGCAAACACTGGTTACTTCTGTGACCTGATGCGCGTCACAATATAAGGGTTTATATAAAAACGTCATACGCTATGACAAGTTGATTTTTCTTACTTTGATAAGTCAGTGATAAATTTGCATGATTAAAATTATTTTTAAAAATCCTCTCAAATGGACGGCGGGAATTGTCTTTGTTTATAGATCTTACAAATGCATCAATCTATACTCCGTTCAGCTTTCAAGGCTTAACTTTTTTTTAAACAAATAGGATTTTTTGTATATATTTAAAACCATATTTATTACAAATAATTATTTGGAAATTATTGAAACTAGGAATTTCGGGATGCGTTTGATTGACACAATCTTGCACTTTCACAAAGTAAACTTTACCCTTATTTCTTAAGAAATGTGGAAATTTTGTTGTGTATTAATGAAAAATATTAAAACTATTACCCAGAAAATTCAGAGTAGAAATATGAGAAAGGAAAACTAGCTCGACCAGTATTGTCAGTCCGTACTAGGTGATGTGTGCTGAGTTTAACAAATTGAACACATCCGGTGAAACGTAAACATTATCAAAAACAGAGCTCATGCCCTGTTTACAAAAACGGTTTACGTTTTACCGGATGTGTTCAATTTGTTAAACTCTCTTTTAAATTATCATATTAACAAATGTATAAATTCGACATTTATGATTTGCAAGAAAAAATAATATAAAAATGATATTTTACCCATCAAATCATTTTCATCGACTGCTTAATGGTGACTTGTTGTATCTTAAAGGTGGTTTAATGGTAGCTTAATGGACATTAATCACCAATAAGTTTGGATTCATGGTTGGGTAATGGTGACTTAAAGATCGTTTAGAAGCATTTAGCACCTATAAGCTATCTTTAAGCCAGCATTAAGCTACCATTAAGGACTTTGAGATGGCTTAATGGCAACTTAATGATGGTCATTTATTACTTAAAGATAGCTTAAAGATGCTTATTGGTGACTTAAAGACGACCATTTAGTCATCATTAAGGACCTATACGCCATCATTAAAACAAGCTTAAACACACACACACTTACACACACACACACACAAACAGAGAGAGAGAGAGAGGTTTACCTTTTTCGACAGTTTGCAATATCCTGTTATTAAAAAGGTTTGTAGATATCGGCAATATTTTGCTCAATTTTCTGCATTTCTCTTTTCTGCTCCTGACTAAGCGTACCAAGCTGTCTTTTTAACGTTTCTACAGCCTGTTGTAAAGAGGAGATTATTGTTTTTGTAGACTTTATATTACGCTTCACAGAAGTAACGTCTTCAACTAATGCCTTTACATCCCTGAACATGGCTAAACGGATGAGAGTTTCCTGGTTGATGATCTGTCGAAGAACATTGATCTCCTTGATTTCACGTCTGTCGTTAATTAAAGCTGTAGAGTTCGGATTGTTAGTACCGGTTAACAAGGAAGACACCATAGCTTTACAAATTGGAATAAAAATTGTAAACAGAAATTCATTATTTGAATTTAGAGGTGATCTGACAATACGAAAGAATGCGATGTTTGGCTCGGAGATAAAATACGGTATATATAACCATATGCTTGGCGGATTTCCCAAAAGCAACCCAGTTTTATCACAATAACGTATGACAAATCTTGTTATTTCATGTGCATAAGGATAAGCATATTATAACGGACGCTCTGTCTTATTGTTCTTGCCTTGTTTTTCTATTCTGAAATTTGGAAAGGGTATATAAGATGGCAGCATTATAGAGGATTTGAAACTCTGATATTTAAATCGAATAACGGAAATGACCCATGTTAAAAGTTTTATTTTTTGGTATTTATTTTACACTTGAATAATTGAGATTTTTTTTAAAGAAAAACCATAGAGAAACCGAGTTTTATATTTAAACAAATGTTTTAATCCGGCATTTATACTTGGCGAGATTAAATGAAAAAATGAAGATAACGAACAGTGATCGATCTATAAAAAATCTACAAATAAATCAATTCTGTAAACACGGATCCCCGGAAACAACAGAGGTGGGATCATGTGCCTAGGAAAGACAGTCATACCCTGTTGAATGGTCACACCCGCCAGGAGCCCTATGTATTGACCAACTATACGGAACATTCTGTAGTCAAATTTACTTTAAAAAAAGATTCACAATTGGTATGAAATAGGTTAGCCAAAATACGACCTAATGATAGGTCAAATTTGCTAACAAGGTCATTATAAAGACAATAGAATTTAAGAAATGTTGACCTTTTAAATTGACTGTTTAAATCCCTGTAACAGGAATGGGAAAAACTAATTCTAATTAATAAAACAACGTCGTCGATATGTCTGAATGTCAAATTGAAGGCCACGGCAAGTTCTTTTTTTCGTCTGCTGTAGAAGTTTTTATATGAATAGTATTTTATCTATTAATACAGAACATCGATTGCATTTTGGTGGCTTAAAAGTGACTTATAGATGTTTTAAATACATTAAGCATCTATAAATCTGGCTTAATATTGGCTTAATGGCTGCTTAAAGACTGTCTATCTACTTATAATCATTGCATTAGGTAGTTTGAAATGCCGTGATGGTACCTTAATGATGGCGAAAATAATAATTCAAGATGGTTTAAGGGTGCTTAATGGTAACTGAAAGATGACCTTTAAGCACCTGTAAGCCTTCCTCAAGCAAAGCTTAAAGGAAGTAATTCATCCTCTGGATTTTGCAGACTAACTTTACCTTAAAACATTGTCTAAAAAATGTGAGATCTTGTTTGCTCTCTGGCAATTGCGATTTTATCATTTGGCATGGATTTATAATACGCATGCATAAAGGAAAATTTTTTTTTTTTCATATTGCTATTTAACACGACGTTTAACAAAGCGAGCATGAAGAAAAAAAATATATATATATATATGGCTAACATTTTGTATTTAATAGTCAGTATTTTTTTATTTATAATTTTAAGTAAATTTTTAGTAATTTAAAAGTGTTATTGTTTTTTAATTAAATTGAGCAAAAACAGTATTCATCCTGGAATTCCGCGAGTATTGAAAATGCGTATAGTTCTTACTGTGTATTATACCGCACAGTTACTTGGTTTTATGTATGTTATAAGATATTGAATGTTGAAAATTTCCAGTAGCTCAAAAGTCCATTAAAAATCGGGACAGAGCAAATACTGACCTGAAAACATCAAAGGTATAAGTTCAGGTGGAATTGTACTGGTATACTGCTTTACTGCATCACAGGTGTCTCCTTTTCTCCTTTTCATTAGTAATTATAATTCATCAGATATATTCCGTGCTTTATCATCATAATGGTTTCCTTTATATCACTGCCATTACTGTCCAAATACCAATAGTAACTGTACTTCAGCTACACCTCAAAAACATCATAACACTCTTAGTGGGTCTTTATCATCATGCAATCTGTCCTTCATATAAATGCCATTACTACGTGTGGTGCCAAAGACATATAAACATTATGTAACGCACTTATTGATGCTTTATCATGATAAGAGTTTCCCTTATTACAATCTTATATCTAAGACTTGCTTGGATGCCAAAGACAAGTCATAAACATTCTGTAACATACGGAATGAGGCTTAATCATTATAAGAATCTCCTTTATATCACTGACACCAGTAACTGGTGAATATCAAGGACACGTAATGAAAATGTTTTGAAACAAATAGTGGAGTTTGATAAAAAAAAAAAATTAATTCCCTTATACATTATTGCCAGAAGGATCAACACACAACAATCAAGCATGTTTAACTCTCTCTCTCTCTCTCTCTCTCTCTCTCTCTCTCTCTCTCTCCTTTTGAAAGCAAAGCAGCACACCTCGTCACAAACCACAACCCTTGGGTCACGTAGATAACCTTCCAAATAAAATTTTATATAGCTTTTTTTTTTTTTAAATAAATAATCAAGTACGTTCGAGTACGAAGAAAGATGACACTGATTTAAATTATATATAACGTTTAAAAATATCAATTATCACAAATGATTGTTTGTCAAAGTAATTTTGTGAAAAAGGTAAAAATAACGAACAGTGATCGATCTAAAAAAAAATCTACAAACAATTCAAATCTGTGAACAGGCACATAAAACACAATAGCCCGGAAACTACAGGGGTGGAATAGGGTGCCTAGGAGGAGTAAGCATCTCCCGTTTACGCAGCTATGTTAAGGCTTCCCGAAGCTTTAAAATGCGCTCTAAACATAATATGTCATTGCGAGGTCGGTTTTGGTTTTAATTTATAAGTAATGAACTTTAGTACTTCCAATTAAGGGGTTTCTTCGGCTATATATTAACATATTTGTTATGATATCACATGACTTTGTTGATAACGTGAAGGACATATATAAATTTTTGAAGAGTTTCATATAAATCGCTTCGGCGCAGCTGATTAACACATTAATTATTGACATTTTCTTATATAAATAAACTCATCGTATCCTTGTGTATCCGAAGTATGCTTGGGAAAAGTCATAGTATTACTTGGGCACAAAATATTTCCTGAGAAATTCAACTTACCTAACTTACCTACAAATTTGAGGGTATTTCCACACAATATCGTAATCTGTATTAAACAAAGCCAACACACATTTTTCCAAAGCAAGATTCAGTTAGAGAACAACCTCTTGTTAAAGAGTTCCACAAAAATTCTCAGATTAATCCTCATTAATCACCTGCGCCGGACTCTATTATACACACAAAATAAATTCTACCTCCAACCACGGGTATAAAACAGAGTACGTTTCAAAAGTATATTTTTCATAAGCATTTTGAACATGCCGAATTTCAATCAAGGGTAGGTAAGCGGTGTATTTTTAAAATATTCAGACATACAAGATTTAAAAAACATTTAACGACCCGTGAATTTTGCAGTAGTTATCTAGCATTTTACATGCAGTTTAAAATAAAGTGTAAAGTTCTGACACTCTCCCAGTCATAACACCTCAAGTTTGCAGTGACTTGACGTCATTTTCCATTTTGACGTCATACTCTGGTAGTTCAGAGATGTGAAAGCACAGAGTGCACTGTGATATTCTACGGGAAGCCTTAACCTACCTCCGTACCGCTCATACCTGCTATGAGCCCTATCTATTGATCTGTAAGACGGAACATTCGCAGCACAGTTAAGGCTGCAAAAAGGGGGCAGAGCCTAATTTTTACGGGAAATATTAACTATGACATCATACAAAACCACCAATGATTAAAAGTACTACAGAATCAAATGATTTGCTATTTTAAACTGTACGAGACTATCAAACTACATCAAAACTTACTAAAACATGCTGTTTTGTCTTTAGTTAAATCCCACATAGCAAGGTGTAGACAAGTCCCTGATCGCAATGCACTTGTCGATGTGACGTCATTTCGTAAAACTTGACGCAGTTTGTATGCAGTGAGAGGCGGATCAAGTAATATTTTCATGACGAAAAATGTATTCTATGATTAAATAAAATACTATTTGCCGATATTTAAGAGGCCATTAACTTAATTGCAATCTTTTCTTTATGATTTTATTCATATATTTTCCGTACATTTCCTATTTAATTGATACTGCCATATATTTGTATGCGAGTACATCGGAGGGTAATGTAAGAGTCTTAATAAATCGATCTAGTGCAAGGTCATGCACCCAATGGATCATAGTAAGCTTTTACAAATAAACTCTAGACGTATTAAGGTATCTGAAAAGTGCTGCGATCCTGGTGAAATCTTGAAAATGAATTAATTTTACCTATATTTAATGCCGTTGACCTTCAAAAAATACAGCATGCGGTCATTCAAATATGATTTTAACAATGAAATAGCAGAATCCCTATAGGATCGCAGCACTTTTCTGAAACTACAATGCGTGTTGAAAATATTTATAAACTAAACTTAGAATTTTAACTTCGTTATGCCCTTGCACTAGTGAAATTTATAGGTGACCTCAATACTGCAAGTATATGTGCTAAAATCACATGACTGCCGCATCACGTGACAAGTCTTAATATAAAATCTTATCGTCCTCAATATCTAGTTGTTAACCATAATTACATTTGTCCGATATAAATAAAGTACTAAAAAGAATCGCCGTCCTGATTAAGAAATATATTTTTAATCACAAAAATTGCCGATATTTCCACTGCGCACCTTAACTGTACTGCGTTCCGTAAAGAACTATATATTGTTTTGGCCATTTTAGGCCCCTATTCAGAAAATATTTATATTTACTATGGCGATGATATGGCAAGTGTGTTACTAAAAATATATTTTAATTTGTTCAGGCATTCCGTTGCCAAGGAAGCCGTGGTCAAAAACAAGTACCTTCAGACCTTAAAATCTGGCATCTATTGTCATTTAACCAATCTTTAATTTTGATACCAATTACCTAGAAAATATATTTTAAATTAATCAGACATTCCTATGCCATGGAAACCGTCTTAAAAAACGTATTTCTTCATACCTGAAAATCTGGCTTTAATTGACATTTAACAAATCTTTAATTTTGGTAACATCTATAATATCTTCAGTAAATGTCCA